TTTGTGGGTGTGGGGAAGGAGGAGACATGATGGGCAAAACCTGAGCCATTTCTAGTTTTAAAAAATAAAAACCAACTTGAGGCTTTGTATCATAAATCAAAAAAGAGGCACACCCCTTTTATTCCTCATTACAGGTACTCTTACCCCTTCCTTTGAAGTCTACTTCTTTATCTCCAAATCTGAACTCTCCAGCTCTGTCTAGCAGTGTATGCGTAGCCTAGGAGCTTTCAACTTTCTTTTGGAACAATAAGTTGGAAGTTGTGTAGATGGTGCCAAGTTGGTTACCATTCATTATTAAGAAAGAAATGGTGAAAATTGTGTTGTCAACAGGGAACTCTTGCTAAGCATGACCGTGTAGAAGCTGCATATGTGGGAGAAAACTACATGTTACCCTGGCCTCCAATTGCTCTTTCTTGGTATGAAAGTTACCTAGTTTCTGAAAACACTATGATCTTGTTTGCAGTGAGCCATATCTGAAAATCTTGCATTGGATCCTCTCCACTGGGATGAGCCACAGCAGAAGCACTAGAATATATTGGTCACCTTTTTTGGAGTGTTTTTTTATTCACCAGTATTAATGGCCACTTCACACTAATTTCTGATCCTTATTGCCAGTAGAGTTGGGTGATTTTCAGAAAAAGCTTAGAGTGGATACAGCCAACAGGATGTGTTGAGTTTGAAATTGCATTCTGTAGAAGACTGGGACATAGGAAGTCTGGCCTAGCAGTTACAGCTTGGCTGGGATCCACACATGAGGGTTGGTAGTCGGTGAGCAGGGGTCAGAGGAATTGCTAGAGCCAGGTTCAGTAAGCCAGAATCAGAGTCCTATGCCAATTAGAGGTAGAACCAGTTTGGAGTCAGGAGGCAAGAGTCCGTTTCATAGTCAAGCTGGGGTCGGGGATGAAGTGAGCTCTGAAGATGCAGCAAGCCAAAAGTCTGTGTGGTTGCCCAGACAACTTCCTCAGGTGCCCTCCAAAATTAAATAGGGCACTTGGCCAATCGGAGAGCTGTAAGGTATTGTCACTCCTGGGTTCCTTGGGTGATACTTTCTCTGGCACCTGTGATCCATAGTGCTCCCTGGCAGTGGCTCCACATGACCTCCTGGTAGCACAGTGAAACGTCAGCCATCCCAGGTTCTAGTCCACAAATTCTTACATTTTCACTTCCTTCTGTAGCCCCGCTGCTTGATTTTTGGTATAATGTGTGTTTAATATAAATATTGGAAGTAGTTGGTGTACCTGTGAGAACCTGTCTGTTTTTGAGGGAGAGGGTTGACAGTTGACTCTCAGAACTATAGAGATACATAATAGTGCATTGAAGATGTGATGTAATAAGTACTACAATATTAAATAATGTTAAGACAGTAGTGTGGAAAACAGGCATGTTGCATTTATACTTTCTGCTAAAATCTCTCCTGTAGTATGTTGAGAAAAAAAAATACTATAAATAACTTTTAGAACATTAAGACATGAGAGGAAGTGAACTGTTAATATAAGCTTTTAGTGGTGTTTGGTGGTCTGCCTGTGGCTGTGTCTCAATCACAATGCATTTATTAAATTAAAAAGACACCCTGATGTTTTAATACTATAATAAACCTGGCATTACACAGAACTAGGATTAAAAGACCTATTGATCTAACAGTCTTAGAATTTATTTCACCATCTGTTAAATCTTCAACATTGCAGAGCAATAGTTGGCATGCTAGTTAATGTTCTTTTTTGTAAGTAAAGAATGCTTTGGTTTAGGCCCCAAACTTCAAAATTAGATTGGTCTTACTTTCCAACCGATAGTCTACTGTAAGAGTAACTGGATATTTATCATAACATTTTCCCTTTTTTTGAGGCGTGCGCGCACACACCAAGGATGTCATTATTCACCTCTTTATGCCATGGTAATGGAGTCATTCATCTAACTGGTCAGAAATAATCCTAATATAAATGAAATTACCATAGGGAACACAAGTTAACTTTATGCAGATGGTATTAATGCTACTAGAGTTTCAAGAGGAAATCTTAACATTTGGCAGAACATCAGGATTTAAAAAAACTGGCAGATCAGAACTCCTGCACGTAAGTGTGTGCTCTGATCTATGGAAAGATATAAAAGAGAATTACAAATACAAATTGGTAACTACTTCTGTAAGATACCTGGGAATACACATTCCTAAAAGCTAGTAAGACTTTTATAATTATGCTCCATTGATTTAAGAGTATCAAGATATATCTGGAAAATTGGTCAAAATACAAAATTTCATAGCTAGGCAAAATTGCATCAGTTAAGATGAATATCTTACCTTAAATTAACATCCTTTTCCAAACACCTCTGGTTCTAGTTCTGGGCAGTTTCTGATTAAACTAAATTGAGTAAATAAGAAATCCAGGGTTAAGCAGTGTAGTTTACAGAGACCATGGCAAAAACTATTGACACTATCAAACATTAAGCGCCATTTATAAAGCTAGTCAGATTAGAAACCTAATGTACTAGCTAATGCCAAACCCTAATAAGCAGCAGGTAGACACAGAATGATTTCATTTTGAGGGATCAAATTTACCCGATTCCCTGGTTAAAGAAATCTTTTATAGGTCAGAATCAATGTATAATCACCCTTTTATGAAAGCAATAGTAGAAACTTGGGATAACTTATTTAGAAAGCTAAGCCATTGCTCATAGTAGATAATATGGAATTTAACCCCAGCAAAAGCCTGGGAAGTTTTGATGTTTAGGAACTTATAGGTATATCAACTTGGCCGACTGTTTTGAAACCACACATTTTGATTGCTTGATACACAACTCACCAAAAGACACCGAAATTCCAATATATCAGTACTAATCATTGAGAAATTTGCCAACCCACCCACGCAAAAAGGCAAACCTAAGCAGAAAACTGATAGAATTTGAAAAACTATTCACTACCTCTGTGAAATACAAAGGATTACTCTCCATTCTATATAAAGTAATCTCTAGCTAGCTTAGAGGAAATAGCTATGTTAATGAAAAGATGGAAAGTTGATGGATGCATAGAGACAAACTTTTGACTACTTATGAAGGGAGAAATCCCTTTAACAATAGCCAAAGTTAATATCAAAATTAAGATATTAAAATAAGGAAGGAAGGAGAAAAGTTTATTATGTAGAGTTTTGATAGGAAAATTTATAAACAGGTCATGCATCTAAATGTAAGAAAA